GTTTTTTATAGAGGTTGTCTCCTCGCAGCCCCGAGCGAACCCAGGGCCCCCGCTCCCACACTGGGCGGACGACCTCCTGTCATCACACCCAGTGCAAGTTTACGGTATGAAGCTACACTCGCAGTCTTCGCCAGAGATAACTCCGTCGTCTACGGGCACTCCTGCCCGCAACTCCGTCCTCCTCATCAACTCTGACGCCGACCGCAAGCGGTTTTTTATAGAGGTTGGCTCCTCGCAGCCCCGGGCGAACCCAGGGCCCCCGCTCTCACACTAGGTGGACGACCTCCTGTCATCAACACCCAGTGCAAGTTTGCGGTGTGAGTCAGTCCGGCTATGCGCAAAGCACCACCGGACCCGACCCGAATGCTTCGCTCACGGCCTGGACGGGTCCTGGTTGGGGTCAGGACCCATTGTCCTAGCCGCTCGCGTCGCCCTCTCGCCGAAATCGGCCTAGGTGGCACGCCACCATAATTGGACGGGCGCCGTTAAACAGCGCCCACCCCCTACTCGCCGGGCTACTGGCCGACATAGTAGCAGTATCCCGAAGGAACGTCTACTATCCCGCCCGGGGCGTACCAGAACCAAACCATTGCTCGGCCACCGTTCCCCGCGGACGTATCCACGAGGATGGGGAAGCTTCCCAATGGCAGGCCCATACTAGGAGGTTGCCCGACCACACGCCCCACTCCTCAACCTTTTTTTTTTTTTTTAACGTGTGGAAAAATCTTCAAAAGACCGTCACCCCGCCGGAGGGATGGCGAGGTGGTGTGTGGGACTTGTACCCACTAAAAAACCACACGGTGTACCTACGAGCGCCTATGCCGGAGCCAGGGGATCGCAAGTGCATTCTACCCCAGCTCCGACGGCGACGGCCCGCCCTGTAGATGTTGTAGGGCAGGCCCCATCTCGTTTTGTGGTTAGGGCGACCTATTTCGCCCTACTCCATTGTGGAGGCGTGTGGGTACACGCGCACACCTCCGGGGCCTTTGGATTGGGGGGACTGCCTCCCTCAAGGCAGTCACCCCGGCCCCAGTGGGGGATAGAGGGGGGCGGAGTTGGATACGCTCCCACCTCTAGGCCTGGCTCTTCTGCGGCGGAGGGAAGCGGGACGAGCTGACTCCCGCTCCCTTTCCGCCGCCTCCTTCCGCGAGATAACTTCCTCGCAGAAGGAGCTCACCGCCAGCCACGATCTCTCGCTACTGACCATCCTCCGAACTAAATTCGGCAGCGAGAGATCGTCCCCCACTATTCGTGTGAGGACACGGCGCTCACTCTCAAACGCTGGACATATTTCCAGCGTGTGTTGCGCCGTGTTCTCCACACCTCCGCACTCGTGGCAGCCGGTCGTCGGCTCCTTCCTCGCCACATGACACAGATACCGCCCGAAGCAACCGTGCCCGGACAGTATCTGTGTCATGCGGTACGTCAGTGGCCATCTCCTATTCATCCACCGTTTGAGGATGGGACGGACAGCCTCGACGGTCCTCAGGCCGGCCGATGGACTGGCCAGCCTTTCTCTCCACCTGATCCTGAGGATCCGCCGAAAGTCGGACCTCCGCGCTTCGATCTCGTGACCAGCGAGTGCCTCCCCCATGGAACGTCGCTCCGCGCGCCAGTGGTACACTGACGCGTGGAGCTCCGCTACCAAGTCCCACGGAGGAGACCCCGCCAGCAGACCCGCCGCTTCCTCAAAATGTGGTCAAGTTGTGCCTTAACCATTTTGTGTGTTCCATCCTTGTCAAGGGGAGTGCTAACCGTCTCTCCTTTCAATAGACACAACCTTTTTTTTTTTTTTTTTTACAAGGGGAAATCCGTCATGGAGACCCGCACGCCTCGGGGGAAGCGTGGGGGTACTGCCGGACTCCTACCGGCTAAAACCCCTTGGTGTCCTCCGCTCGCCACTAGCGCCGGGGTTACGGGATCGACATAGCAGTCCACCGCGACCCCGGCAGCGCAGGCTCTGCAGCCTCCTCCTCGAGTGGCGCGCGCGGACACCACGCGCGGCTACTCCCAGCCTCACCCTCCTTAGGTGACGGCAGACGCCCCCGCGTCTGCCGCCGAGAGGCTCTGGGTCCGTGGCGACGGGCCGGACTCGGCCTCCATCGCCTCCGTCTCCTCCGCCCGCGCCGGTGCGCGGCTCCCTCGCGAGCAGTTCTTACCGCTGCCCACGGCATGACTCGCCGGACGACCCGCCGCTGCGCAATAAACGCAATGCGGCGGGGCAGTGCAACCAGCAGCCTTGTGGCCCTCTCCGCCGCAACGGAAGCAGGCCTGACTGCGGTCAACCGCCGATTTGCACTGCGTGCCCACATGCCCTTGCAGTAGGCAGCGGTAACAACGCATGGGTTTCGGCTCTAGCACTGTTACGTGCGCCGATACCCATCCCACTCGTAAGCGGCCCTCCGCTTGAAGCTTTTTGGCGGCCACCATTGGGCAACGAACCCATGCAGCCGCGTTGCCGGACCCCGATCGGCGGACTTCCCCTGCCCTAACTTCCTGCTCCGCGCACCCACCACAACGCGCCACAGCAGCGACGACATCCGCTGTCGTGGCCGTGTCGTCCAGGCCTACAATCCTAAGATCCGCCGTCTTCACAGGACGGGAGACCTGGACCACCTCCGCGGGCAGGACTTCCCTGAGCTTTTCAGCGAGGGAGTCCGCCTTGTCACCGCTAGCGGCGCCTGGCAACTCCAGGATTCGCGCGCCAGTAATGGCCTGCCTATAGTGGAGCTCAGTGATCCCTATAGTCTCCAGGGACACCTTCTCCTTCGCTTCTCTAAGTAGAGCCGCATACGTTACGCCTTTCTCGGCAGCCCCGGGCTGCAGCGACAAAACTACCGCTGCAGAGCGAGGCGGCCTCAGTCTGGGCTTCCTCTTGTTTCCCGCGGTCGCTGCCTTTTGGGGCTGCGATTTAGTCGCCGCGGGTTTCTTCGCCGCATTCTTGTCCGTTTTCTTCGCACCACGACGAACCACGGTCACCCAACTCTCCGTCATGGTGCGGGGAGCGGGCGCCGGCTCCTGTACTCCAATAGGAGCAGCCTGACTAGTAGCTGCCGGTGCAATAGCAGCCGGTGCAGGAGCCGACACCTTTCCTCTTCCTTTCCCTTTCGGCCCAGCCGAACCGCTCGCCCGCACAGCAGGCGCAGCCGTTGTGGACCTCACCACCGGTGCCAGAGGGAGTCGCTCCTCGATTCTCGCTAGGCGAGCATCGAGTCGGTTCTCCAACCTCTTCGCTACACGATCCTCAATTTCTTGTAGGGCGTTGGGCCCTGTCACTAGATCCCCAGATTGCATGGGGACGGAGGTCGATGGCCCAGCGGCCGTCTGCACCTGCGCCTCCTGTAAGGCAACCCGGAGTTCCAAGATTTCCTTGGCAATCTTTTGATTCTCGGTTCTTTGGGCGGCAACCTGCCCCTCTAGGCTCGCAACTTTCGCGGCCAGAACCGAGTTTTCCTTCGTTGCCGACCGATTCTTTAGAATGTCGGCTGCGTCTCTGATGGCATCCACAGCATCCCTGATGTCCCGGATGGTGGTGCCCTTTAAGTTACCGCATTTTTTAATTGTGACGTTCACAATATCGGCACATGCCTCGATCTTACTTCGTAGTGCATCCGCCGTCCACTGGAGCTTCATTGGATCTCCACCCCAAGTGGCACGAATGATCCCGAGTCTTTCGTCAAAATTCCTTTGACCTTCCTTCACAGCTGCCTTCATGGCCTCTATTCGGTCCTCCGTTACCCTGGCCCGAGCACTTTCACCTTCACCCTCCGAGTCGGAGTGTGAGCGCCTACGTTGGCGCTTTCGCCGACTGCGCTTCCTATCCAGGTCACTGTTGCCGTCTTCACTTCCTGTAAAGAGGGAAGTGGTCGAACCTGTTATGTCCGACAAATCCTCCTCCATGAGGATGTCATATCGTCCTGCGCTGAGGACACTCTCGAGTTCTCCTCTCTCTAACCTCACCCTCAGCTCTTTCTCCAGTCCTAACTCCTCTCCTACTTACACCTCTCTCCCTTCTTCCCCCCTTCTGGCCTTTCTTGTCCCCCCCAGAATACGTGGGACTGACCGCCCCCGGCTTACCCGGTGCGACGGTGGAGGATTCTCCACCCGATGGACGGGTGGTACCTCCCTGGGGTATTACCTTTTTAAGATCAGCCATTTCATCTTTGTTCCTTTTTTACCCGGGTCTGGTCCCGCATACAAAACAGAAGAAAGAAAACGAAATACAAAACAAAAAAGCAGAAAAGAACAAAGGACAGAAAAAAGAATAGACAATAAGCAACTAAAAGAAACAAAATAAAACCAAGAAAACTAAAAGAAGACAAAACAAGAAGAATTTACAAATAAATAACTAACCTAACTATTTACACTATTTACAGATTTGGACGAGCGCCGAATACGACACCCGCCCCCTAACCTACTTGCCGGACTATCGGCCGACATAGTAGCAGTATCCCGAAGGAACGTCTACTATCCCGCCCAGGGCGTACCAGAACCAAACCATTGCTCGGCCACCGTTCCCCGCGGACGTATCCACGAGGATGGGGAAGCCTCCCAATGGATGGCCCATACTTGGAGGTTGTCCGACCACGTCGCCCCAACCTAACCTAACCTAACCTAACCTTTTTTTTTTTTTTTTTTTTTTTTTTTTTTTTTTTTTTTTTTTTTTTTTTTTTTTTTTTTTTTTTTTTTTTTTTTTGACTTGGAGAAAATCCCTCATGGAGACCCGCCGGCCCCGGGGGAAGCCCGCGGGTACTGTGAGACTCCTACTCACTAAAAACTCCAAGATGTCCCTCACCCAACGCCTATGCCGGAGTCGCGGGATCGAAAACATTCAACCGCAACTCCGACGGCGGTGGCCCACTCTAGCAGCGGGCCCCATCTCTGCGGGTTCCCTACCGGAACCCACTACTTCCCCTCCTCCTCCCTGGGGAAGGCGCGCGGGGACATGCGCGCGACTTCTTCGGGCCTTGTGTGGTGGGGTGGGACCGCCCCCGCGGTCATCACCCCGGCCCGGTAGCGATCGAGGAGCGACTACTTGCCGCCCCTACCTCCCTGATCGCCAGAAGGGGACTGGGCTCATGGCCCGTCTCCATCCCCTCCTCCTGTTCGCTCCTTCGGCCTGGGGCCTGGGTGGCTGGCCGTTTCGCCTTCTTGCTTTTGGGCGGGGTGCAAGATTTTGCACCCACCCAATGGTTCGCCGGACGACCCAGCGCGGCACAGATGACGCACCGCGGATCAGCTGTGCAGGTTGCCGCACGGTGGCCTTCTTCCCCACAACGGTAGCAAAGACCGCTGCGATCCTGGGTTTGTGAGCATTGATTGCTCACATGTCCTCCTTCCAGGCATCGGAAGCATCGCAGCGGCCTTTGCCGCAGGAGCTCCGTCCGCGCCGACACCCACCCTATGCGAATGTGCTTCGCCGCGGTCGCCTTCTTAATGGCCGCCACGGGGCCGCGAACCCAGCAGGTGCCCATCCCGGAGGTATTGCGGCGGATGTCACCGACCCTTACCGCATCCGGCTGGCATTCCCCGACTTGGGCAACTGCCACCGCCACCTCCTCTGTCGTGGCAGAGTCGTCCAGGCCCATCACGCGCATTTCCGCGGTTTTGACGGGCCTGGCCACCTTCGCCATGCTCTCCGGAATAAACTCCCGGAGCTTCGAAGCCAAGGCGTCGGCTTTCTCGCCGCTCTCTGCACCAGGGATCTCCAGAATTCTGGCTCCGGTGATGGCCTGGCGCAGTCGGAGCGCCTCTATACCGAGGGGGCGAAGGTCCACTCGGTTTTTCGCCTCCAACAGTATGTTGGCGTACGTCACACCCTCCTCTCCGCAGCCGGGTCGATAGTTATTACCACCGCCGCAGAGCGGGCGGTTTTAACTTAGACGGGGCTGGCGCGGTGGGCTTCGCCGGCTTTGATGTGCTCGGCTTAGCGCCATGACGGCTCGTTGATGGTACGGCCTGTCCCTCCGTGACGTTGACCATCTTCCCCCGCTTACCCTTCACAACAGTGGCCCAAGAAGCTTCTGTTGGTTGGGATGGCTGTGTTGCCGGGGGGGCACGAGTCTCGACCGGTTGTGAGGCCGAGTGGGCTGCCTTCTTGGGCTTCCTCTTATTTCCGCCCTTAGCCTGAGGTGCTGGCCCCTGGGCGCTTGTCCTTGTGCCGCCCGCTAGAACCTGGGGAACTGAGCCCCGGCTTCCATCTTCCTGAGCGGGTGGACGTCCTACGGCCGAGATCTGGGGAGCTGGGAGGAGACGACCCTCGATACTCGCGAGTCGATCATCCATCATCTTCCCCATACGCTTGACCAGCCTCTCTTCCATGTATTCGAGGACCCGGGGAGTCCCCATGGGTGCCTCTGTCTCGTCCGGTATTTGTCCGCCAGCCGTGGCACGCGATCGGCCAACCTCCTCGCGGAGGGCTGCCATTTCGGCGTCAAGGCGGGCAAACTCTTGCCTATAGCTGGCGATCTTCGCCTTGCTGTCAGCCACCTCTTTTTCCAAACGGGAGTTTGCCGCACGTAAACGTGCGCACTCGACCGTATCGGATCGGGACTTCAGGGCCTCCGCCGCTCTGCAAATTGAGGCAACAGAGTCCTTGACGTCCCTAACGACAGTACCCTTCAAATTGGCCGACTTACGGATGGCATCTAACACCCGACTGGCCTCCCTCTCGATTTGGCCCCCAAGCTCGTCAGCAGCCCGTGTTTCCTCGTTAAATGAGGGTTTGCGGGAAGCCGCACGTGCCGGGGGCTTCTTCTTGGACTTGGCCGGTTCCATCTCTGGTGTTGTTCTTTCGGCCTCTTCCAGGGCCGACATGGCCTCTTGCGAATGGGCCGCGTCCTCGTCCTTGTCTATTGCCGTTATCCGCTGAAGGCGGACTCTGGCTTCTTTTAGGCCTAAGGGCCCCTCCTTACTCGCCGATGTTGTTGCCGCCGCCGCGGCAGTCTTCTTTTTTGGCGGCATAGCCACGGGTTCTGAGAACTTACCTTCCCCGTGAAATTGATACCCAAAGATTTTACGGGTATCTCCGCCTGGGCTTTGATCCACTTTTTTGGGAACCGGTGTTGAACGCCCACTCCAATCCGACTCTGAGTCGCCATCCGTCCGACGCCTTTTCCTCCTCAATGACCTGCGGGGGCCATCAACTGACGACCTCCCGCCATCGTCTAACGACATGCAGGAGCTGGAGAGGTCAGACCCCAATTCCAGTTCCCGCTCCGCCATTTCCAGCTCGCGAGCTAGCTCGCTGAACGCCGCCGCATCTTCCGCATTCAATTCTCCTCTCCTTGCCAACTCCTCTACATCCTTCACGGACACCTCCCTCTCTCCGTCCTTCTCGGACTCCATCTTCGCACCGTCCTTCTCGGACCTTACGTCAAAGGTTTTTTTGCTACAATCCATTTTTGTTCCCACGAGTGTGGGGGAAAGGTTGCACAGCCGGCGTTGCCCCCTGCTACCGACTGCGGCCTAATACGCTTTGGGTGCGGCTGGTGCCCAAAGGTTGGTGCCCTTGCGGCCGGAGTTACTCCTCCGACCCGGCCGCCCCGGAGAACACGCTAACTGAAACGAATTCCAGCAGCGTGCTCCGCGTGACGACCTGTCCCTCGCCAGGCACCGAGCTTAAACAAGAGGTTTTTTATAGAGGTTGACTCCTCGCGGCCCCGGGCAATTAAGCCAAGAGCCCCCGCTCCCACACTGGGCCGATAGACGTGATCACCGACACCCAGTGCAGGTTTACGGTTTGAAGCCAGTTGCACCGAAGTGCTGTCCGGCTGCGCAGTTAAGCACCCACCGGACCTGACTTGCCAGTAGGCAAAGAAGAAAAACGAAAAGAAAACAGAAAGAGAGTAAAGAAAAAGACAAAGAAAAGAAAAGACGAAGACAGACAAAGTAGAAGAGAAAGATTTGCCTACTCCTACTCGCCGGACTATCGGCCGACATAGTAGCAGTATCCCGAAGGAACGTCTACTATCCCGCCCAGGGCGTACCAGAACCAAACCATTGCTCGGCCACCGTTCCCCGCGGACGTATCCACGAGGATGGGGAAGCCTCCCAATGGATGGCCCATACTTGGAGGTTGCCCGACACACGCCCCAACCTTTTTTTTTTTTTTTTTTTTTTTTTTTTTTTGACTTGGAGAAAATCCCTCATGGAGACCCGCCGGCCCCGGGGGAAGCCCGCGGGTACTGTGAGACTCCTACTCACTAAAAACTCCAAGATGTCCCTCACCCAACGCCTATGCCGGAGTCGCGGGATCGAAGACATTCCACCGCAACTCCGACGGCGGTGGCCCACTCTAGCAGCGGGCCCCATCTCTGCGGGTTCCCTACCGGAACCCACTACTTCCCCTCCTCCTCCCTGGGGAAGGCGCGCGGGGACATGCGCGCGACTTCTTCGGGCCTTGTGTGGTGGGGTGGGACCGCCCCCGCGGTCATCACCCCGGCCCGGTAGCGATCGAGGAGCGACTACTTGCCGCCCCTACCTCCCTGATCGCCAGAAGGGGGACTGGGCTCATGGCCCGTCTCCATCCCCTCCTCCTGTTCGCTCCTTCGGCCTGGGGCCTGGGTGGCTGGCCGTTTCGCCTTCTTGCTTTTGGGCGGGGTGCAAGATTTTGCACCCACCCAATGGTTCGCCGGACGACCCAGCGCGGCACAGATGACGCACCGCGGATCAGCTGTGCAGGTTGCCGCACGGTGGCCTTCTTCCCCACAACGGTAGCAAAGACCGCTGCGATCCTGGGTTTGTGAGCATTGATTGCTCACATGTCCTCCTTCCAGGCATCGGAAGCATCGCAGCGGCCTTTGCCGCAGGAGCTCCGTCCGCGCCGACACCCACCCTATGCGAATGTGCTTCGCCGCGGTCGCCTTCTTAATGGCCGCCACGGGGCCGCGAACCCAGCAGGTGCCCATCCCGGAGGTATTGCGGCGGATGTCACCGACCCTTACCGCATCCGGCTGGCATTCCCCGACTTGGGCAACTGCCACCGCCACCTCCTCTGTCGTGGCAGAGTCGTCCAGGCCCATCACGCGCATTTCCGCGGTTTTGACGGGCCTGGCCACCTTCGTCATACTCTCCGGAATAAACTCCCGGAGCTTCGAAGCCAAGGCGTCGGCTTTCTCGCCGCTCTCTGCACCAGGGATCTCCAGAATTCTGGCTCCGGTGATGGCCTGGCGCAGTCGGAGCGCCTCTATACCGAGGGGGCGAAGGTCCACTCGGTTTTTCGCCTCCAACAGTATGTTGGCGTACGTCACACCCTCCCTCTCCGCAGCCGGGTCGATAGTTATTACCACCGCCGCAGAGCGGGGCGGTTTTAACTTAGACGGGGCTGGCGCGGTGGGCTTCGCCGGCTTTGATGTGCTCGGCTTAGCGCCATGACGGCTCGTTGATGGTACGGCCTGTCCCTCCGTGACGTTGACCATCTTCCCCCGCTTACCCTTCACAACAGTGGCCCAAGAAGCGTCTGTTGGTTGGGATGGCTGTGTTGCCGGGGGGGCACGAGTCTCGACCGGTTGTGAGGCCGAGTGGGCTGCCTTCTTGGGCTTCCTCTTATTTCCGCCCTTAGCCTGAGGTGCTGGCCCCTGGGCGCTTGTCCTTGTGCCGCCCGCTAGAACCTGGGGAACTGAGCCCCGGCTTCCATCTTCCTGAGCGGGTGGACGTCCTACGGCCGAGATCTGGGGAGCTGGGAGGAGACGACCCTCGATACTCGCGAGTCGATCATCCATCATCTTCCCCATACGCTTGACCAGCCTCTCTTCCATGTATTCGAGGACCCGGGGAGTCCCCATGGGTGCCTCTGTCTCGTCCGGTATTTGTCCGCCAGCCGTGGCACGCGATCGGCCAACCTCCTCGCGGAGGGCTGCCATTTCGGCGTCAAGGCGGGCAAACTCTTGCCTATAGCTGGCGATCTTCGCCTTGCTGTCAGCCACCTCTTTTTCCAAACGGGAGTTTGCCGCACGTAAACGTGCGCACTCGACCGTATCGGATCGGGACTTCAGGGCCTCCGCCGCTCTGCAAATTGAGGCAACAGAGTCCTTGACGTCCCTAACGACAGTACCCTTCAAGTTGGCCGACTTACGGATGGCATCTAACACCCGACTGGCCTCCCTCTCGATTTGGCCCCCAAGCTCGTCAGCAGCCCGTGTTTCCTCGTTAAATGAGGGTTTGCGGGAAGCCGCACGTGCCGGGGGCTTCTTCTTGGACTTGGCCGGTTCCATCTCTGGTGTTGTTCTTTCGGCCTCTTCCAGGGCCGACATGGCCTCTTGCGAATGGGCCGCGTCCTCGTCCTTGTCTATTGCCGTTATCCGCTGAAGGCGGACTCCTTCTTTTAGGCCTAAGGGCCCCTCCTTACTCGCCGATGTTGTTGCCGCCGCCGCGGCAGTCTTCTTTTTTGGCGGCATAGCCACGGGTTCGGAGAACTTACCTTCCCCGTGAAATTGATACCCAAAGATTTTACGGGTATCTCCGCCTGGGCTTTGATCCACTTTTTTGGGAACCGGTGTTGAACGCCCACTCCAATCCGACTCTGAGTCGCCATCCGTCCGACGCCTTTTCCTCCTCAATGACCTGCGGGGGCCATCAACTGACGACCTCCCGCCATCGTCTAACGACATGCAGGAGCTGGAGAGGTCAGACCCCAATTCCAGTTCCCGCTCCGCCATTTCCAGCTCGCGAGCTAGCTCGCTGAACGCCGCCGCATCTTCCGCATTCAATTCTCCTCTCCTAGCAAACTCCTCTACATCCTTCACGGACACCTCCCTCTCTCCGTCCTTCTCGGACTCCATCTTCGCACCGTCCTTCTCGGACCTTACGTCAAAGGTTTTTTTGCTACAATCCATTTTTGTTCCCACGAGTGTGGGGGAAAGGTTGCACAGCCGGCGTTGCCCCCTGCTACCGACTGCGGCCTAATACGCTTTGGGTGCGGCTGGTGCCCAAAGGTTGGTGCCCTTGCGGCCGGAGTTACTCCTCCGACCCGGCCGCCCCGAAGAACACGCTAACTGAAATGAATTCCAGCAGCGTGCTCCGCGTGACGACCTGTCCCTCGCCAGGCACCGAGCTTAAACAAGAGGTTTTTTATAGAGGTTGACTCCTCGCGGCCCCGGGCAATTAAGCCAAGAGCCCCCGCTCCCACACTGGGCCGATAGACGTGATCACCGACACCCAGTGCAGGTTTACGGTTTGAAGCCAGTTGCACCGAAGTGCTGTCCGGCTGCGCAGTTAAGCACCCACCGGACCTGACTTGCCAGTAGGCAAAGAAGAAAAACGAAAAGAAAACAGAAAGAGAGTAAAGAAAAAGACAAAGAAAAGAAAAGACGAAGACAGAAAAGTAGAAGAGAAAGATTTGCCTACTCCTACTCGCCGGACTATCGGCCGACATAGTAGCAGTATCCCGAAGGAACGTCTACTATCCCGCCCAGGGCGTACCAGAACCAAACCATTGCTCGGCCACCGTTCCCCGCGGACGTATCCACGAGGATGGGGAAGCCTCCCAATGGCAGGCCCATACTTGGAGGTTGCCCGACACACGCCCCACACACGCCCCAACCTAACCTAACCTAACCTAACCTAACCTAACCTTTTTTTTTTTTTTTAACGTGTGGAAAAATCTTCAAAAGACCGTCACCTCGCCGGAGGGATGGCGAGGTGGTGTGTGGGACTCGTACCGCACTAAAAAAAAAAAAAAAAAAACCACACGGTATACCTCGAGGTGCCGTGGGCCGAAGTCCGGGGTTCGCACTTGGCATTCAACCCAGACTTCGGCGGCTTGGCCTGTCCTGTAGGTGTTGTAGGACAGGCCCCTCTCTCTGGTTAGGGTGCTATGACTTGCACCCTACCATCTCGTGGAGGCGCGTGGGTACACGCGCACGCCTCCAGGGGCCTGATTGTGGGGTGATGCCTCCCTCAAGGCATGCACCCCGGCCCCCGTGGGGGGTAGACTCGGGACGGAGTTGGGCACGTCCCGACATCTACGCCTGGTCCTCCGGCGGCGGATCATTGGGGCCGAGAGATCATATTCCCGGTCCCTCTCCGCCGCCTCCTTCTGCGAAATAACTTCTTCGCAGAAGGTGAGTACGGCCAGCCACGACCCCTCGCTCCTAACCATTGCCCGAACTAAATTCGGCAGCGAGAGGTCGACCCCCACTTCCGCGACCAAGACGCGGCGCTCCTCTGCGAATGCAGGGCACTCCTCCAGAACGTGCTGCGCCGTGTCTTGGTCGCATCCGCACTGGTGGCACATTGTTGTCGGCTCCCTCCTTGCGACGTTACACAGGTACCGCCCGAAACACCCATGTCCGGACAGCACCTGCGTAAGTCGGTAGGTCAGCGGCCCTCGTCGCCTGCCCATCCATTCCTTAAGGACTGGACGAACAGCCTCGACGGTCCTCAGGCCGGCCGTTGGATTGGCCAGCCTTTCTTCCCACTTTTCCCTGAGGACACGTCGGAGGTGGGATCTCCTTTCCCCAAGTTCCACTCCAGAGGGCTCCCTTCCTTGGGCCCGTTCATCCGCGCGCCATTTATATAAAGACGCGCGGGAATCCGCTACTAGGTCCCAAGGTGGGAAGCCCGCGAGCACGCACGCCGCCTCTCTCGAGATGGTGCGGTACCCTCTGATGGCCCTTATGGCCATTGCTCGCTGCGGACGCAGGAGCAAGGCCATATTTTCCCTGGACAGGGCCCCATGCCATATAGGGGCCCCGTATAGGGCCATCGATTGGACCACACCCATGTAGAGGCGGCGGCAATTGTCCCCCGGCCCCCCGATGTTGGGCAGCAGCCAGCCTAAAGCGCCAGCCGCCGCCATGAGACGAGGGGCCAGGTTCCTGAAGTGGAACCGGAAATCCCAGCGACTATCGAGGTCAAGCCCTAAGTACCTAATGTGTGGCTTGACCTCGAGCCTATGACCGCTGACCATGATATGGGCTCCTGGTGGCGGCGCTCGTCGGGGTCTATGAAAACAAAGAACCTCCGACTTCTCGAGCGCCACTTGGAGCCCTAACCTCCGAATTCTGCCGACAACAAGTGCCACACTGGCGGTAGCAAGACGGGCAGCCTCCCTGTAGTCCCGCCCGCGGGACGTTACCAGCGTGTCGTCCGCATAACAAACCACGCTGGTCCCATCGAGCAAGGCGCCCCGCAGATTCCAATCATACCCGATGTTCCACAGGACCGGACCCAGAACCGATCCCTGTGGAACACCGCGCTGCATCTCCCTCTCGATCACCGTGCCATTCCGCCCGATACATATAACCTTTCTGTCCTGGAAGTAGGCCCCGATCACCTCCCGTAGGTAGGGAGGCACTTGATGGAATTTCAGTGCCTCCCTAACACACTCAAAGGGAAGGGTGTTGAAGGCATTTTTGATGTCAAGAGACACCGCCAACAACACCCCTCCCCGGGAGACCACTTCATCCGAGAGGGCACGAACCTTTGAGATCGCATCGATCGTGGAACGGCCCCCTCGGAACCCAAATTGATTTGGGGATAGATCAGGGCCTACTTGACCCAAATGCTCGACGAGGCGGCGTACTATTATCCTCTCAAATAGTTTGCCAACCTCGTCGAGAAGGACAATCGGGCGGAACGCCGAGGGAGATATGGAATCCGCAGGGCGCCCCTCCTTGCGGAGCAGGACTACTCTGCCCGTCTTCCACTTCTTGGGAAATCGCCCCGACTCCATGCACTCATTGAAGAGGCTAAGGAGCCGGTCCCCAAGGGCACCTAGGGCCAAATATAGAGCCCGGCCGGGAACACCATCAGGCCCCGGGGCAGTTTTCTTGCCCCGGAGCTTGTCCACGGCCGTGGAGAACTCTTCCGTCGTAATCGACGGAACCCCAACTTCCCCAAGGGTGCCGTCGCCGTCTTCCTCTATTTGACGGCTGCGCGGCACCATAGGAGGGGGTGTGAACTCTGGCTGCTCTGGAAACAGAGCTGTCAACACCCCCTCCAATTGTTGGGGCTGGAGACTCTCTGCCACAGGAGGCGCCCAAGGGCGAAGTTTGCCCCTTGCTGTCCTATATGGGCGCCCCCATGGATCCCTCTGTAGAGTCTCCAGGAGTTCCTCCCTGGCTCTTTCTTTGGCCCTGCTGATGGCGAGCTGCAGCGCTTTCTTCCTCTCAGTGTATTGCGCGCGCAGCTCGGCTTCCACAGCGGCGTCTCGGCCCCGCCTGAGTCGGCGGTGCCTGGTGTACCGGCGTCTAGCGGCCATGCTATCTACCCGCAAGGCCGCTATCTCTTCAGACCACCAGTACACCTGACGCCTAGGAGGTGGGGGGCGGGCCCGGGGCATGGCCGCATCACAGATGCGGGTCATGGCTGCCCCGAGCCAATTGGCCTCCTCCTCCACCTCCACAGGCCTGGATGGAGTTTGGAACCAGGCCTGTACTATGGAAGCTTCCACCAGCACGTCCTTTTTCAGACGTTTCGATGCCCATTTGGGGAACGCCGAAGTGTCTCGCTCTGAGCGGTACAGGTGCGGAGCTCCGGACGGGGGGAGAATGTCAATCCATATATATCGATGGTCCGACAGGGTCTCCACCTCGTCCATCACCTGCCAGCTCCGCACCCTGAGTGCGATGGCTGGACTGGCAAGGGATATATCCACAATGGATTCCCCCTGCCATCGCACACATGTGGCGACCGACCCCACATTAAGAATTGTGAGGTCGGACGCCACCGCCCAGTCCTCCAGGACCTCGCCTCGTAAAGTCGTGACGGGAGAGCCCCAAGCTGTGCATTTAGCATTGAGGTCCCCCATGACGAGTACTGAACGAGCTGGATGCATACTCATTGCAGTTCCCAGCCCGTCCAGATATTCCTCAAACTCGGCGAGAGTCCTATTGGGAGAGAAGTACACTCCGACGACGGCGATTTCCCCCCAACTCATTCCGACGTATCCTGAGCCCCTAAAAAGGGGGAAACAGGGTGGGGAGGCTGAGATCCCCCCTGCACGTATAACGGCCACCAGACCGTCGCAGTCGCCGAACCAATTGTCAGAGGACGGAACTCTGTATGGTTCGGCGACTACCACAACATCTGCCTGCCACTCTGCCGCGGATTGCAGGAGGAGGTCCTGCGCCGCGGCAGTGTGGTTGATATTAGCCTGGAGGAGGCGAATGGCCATAATTATATGTCCATTTCCTCCTCCAGATCGGCCCAACTATTTGAAGTCGGGACGGCGGCGGTCGCAGGTGGTGCGGGTGCCGGCCCCTTCCTGGCTTGTTGCCTGCCTGGGGAGCAATTTTTGCTCCCCAGCCAATGTTCCGCCGGCTTGCCTGCCTCCCGGCAGATGGCACAGCAGGGAGTGGCTTTGCAGCCGGCGGCTTTGTGGCCTGACTTGCTACATCTGAAGCAGAGGCCACTGCGGTCCCCCTCGTGCGGGCACCGCATCCTTACATGGCCCGTCTGAAGGCACTTAAAGCACCTCAGCGGCCTCTGCCTCAGGAGCTCGACCGGGGCCGACACCCAACCCACCTTGATGCGGGCTGCCGTTGTAATCTTTTTTACCACTAAAATCGGAGCCCGCACCCAACATGTGCCCAGTCCCGACGGGTTAAGGCGGATCTCGCCGGCCTTAACCTCGTCGGGCACACACTCGCCGTCCCTTGCTACCGCCTCCGCGATGTCCTGGGTGGTGACCGAGTCATCCAGGCCCATTATCCGCATCTCTGCGGTTTTGGTAGGCCTGGAGACCTGAACTGGGTTTTCCCCCAGGACCTCTCGCAATTTTTGAGCAAGTGCATCTGCCTTGTCCCCGCTCTGGGATCCAGGGATCTCAAGGATCCTAGCCCCCGTGGCCGCGGATTTGAACCGCAGTTCCTCTATACCCATGGAGGCAAGGTCTATTTTTGACTTTGCCTCCCTGAGTATGCTGGCGTAGTTTGCGCCAGCTTTTTCAGCCTCGGGGGGGATCGCAAGAATCACCGCCGCAGAGCGGGGGGCACGCAGCTTACTCGGAGCCGGAGCCCCTTTCCCCTTTTTTTGGGAGGACTGAGCCTGTGATTGGGACCCACCCTTTCCCTTACCCTGTACCCCGGAGGGACCGGCTTTTGCCTCCGGGACGCTGGTGACGCGTCCATTCTTCTTCACGACGGTGGCCCAGGATTCCACCGCCGGCGAAGACTGCTGAGATGCAGTCCCTTGGCCACTCTTTCTTGCCTGAGTAGGCTGTGATTGGGTGGCTTTGGCACCCTTCCTGCGGGACGCGCCCTTTGCAGCATTTGCCACTTCGGTTTGTGGAGGAACACCAGGTCTGATGTTCCCCTCCTGCCGATAAGCCTCAATTCTCTCTCCATTTTGGAGAGGTGGACGATAGGCATAGCTGGGGACGTCCTCCTCCACATCCACATCAATCCTTTGAGGAGTCACCATGCTCTTGACGTGCCGCATGAGTTCGGCCGTTTGCCGCTTCATCATGCGGCCGACATCCTCCATAATTTGTGACCGGAATACGTCCCAGTCGCTGTCGTTGCCTCTTCCTGGAACACCCTGATTATAGGCCGGAGTTGGCCTAAGACTTACCAGAGGCGGGGCAGGGGGTCCGGACGCTATCCTTGCCCTTAACTCTTCGTTCTCCTTTCTCAGGGTTTGGAGCTCCGCCTGAATATCGGAGTTTCTTTTGAGGAGCGGCGTCACTGCCCTGGGTATCAGGTCCGCATTCAGGGAGTCAGCCAAGCTTGCGAGCTTGTCCAGCGCATCCTTAAGCTGCTTCTTGCAGGTCCCTTTGAGATTCCCCGACTTCTTCACCACGCCGAGGGCCTCAATAGCCCTATCCACCAGGGCATCCCGGACCCCCTGAATCTGGATCTCTGCTGGGTCCAGTTTATTTCTGGGAGTCTTTAGTCCCGACCTATTGGGGAGTGGTTCAGAGTCCTCGTCCCCTTCGCTGTCACTCCCAGGATCCTTAAGGAACTCTCTGCGCCTATTTTTAGTGAGAGCCACTTTTGCAGCCCCTTTTACGGCCTTTCCTTTTTTTGCTGAGGAGCCAGCAACCTCTATTTCCACCGAGCTGCAGTGAGAGTCGGCGGAGTCAAAGTCCGTCCCGTCTGTGAGGCGTCTCTTTTTTCGACCAGCCGTCGAGCTTTCCGACGGACGGACGAACGCCGTGATCGCATCTACCACGGTGACAGAGGGGTTCGAGCGAGAACGAGTTACGGGGCCCGCCGGCTCTTGAGCCAGATTGCCACACTCCATAGCCTCCACTACGTTCGCTCTAGCCTCTCCACCAATTGTGAAGCCCAACCTAACTGCCCCTGTGGGCGAGTCCAGTTTGTCCGCTTTAGCGGCAACCTCTTCATTACATCCCCCCGAGTCGACGGGGGGGCCCTCTCTGGGAGGGGGGGGAGGTGCGGGGGCCATTACAGCCACCCGCAGACCACTTTGAGGGAGATCAGCCAGTCAACAATTGCAAACACAACTTGTGTTGTAATTTGCAACTGTCCACCACGACCAACTTCCCCAAAAGTGGAGCGACCTTAACCAAATTGCAGGGGGAGGGGTCTTTCGGACTCCTCACCCAGACACCAATCACACACAGCAGATATACCCCAGCGATAGAGCCAGTAAAAATCCACTATCTTCTACCGCCCTATAAAAGACATCAACGCGACACGTCGTCAAGAAGACTGACGTCAAACAAGATTTCCGTATCGCGCTAATTTTCTGTTTATAGGGAAGGAGAAGGCGGTTTGTTTACTGAACACTATTGACCCACTGAAATATATCCACCGGAGCACAATCTGCACCAAAAACCCTCAAAACCAAATTCTCATAAAGCAGTCCCAACCTAACCTAACCTCAAAAAGTGTAGGATTGGAACTCAGAATATCTGTGTGGTCCGCTAACATTCATTCATTCATTATCGAACAACTAACGAACTCGCCACGCTCCGAACACGATTGGGCCGGAAACGCGGCGTGTCAACCTAACCTAACCTAACCTAACCTTTTTTTTTTTTTTTTACGTCAGGAAAATCCATCATGGAGAACCATTCCCTTAGGGAGGAATGGATACTGCCGGACTCCTACCTGCTAAAAACCTGACGACTGTTCCTCCTCGACATAATCGCCGTATCCATGGGATCGCACAAGGCATTCTCCAAGACCACCGGCATGGTTCCCATCGAAGGGACCTTCCATCTAGGCGTGCAGGGAACAGTCTCTGCACGCCACCTCCAGACCCTAATGCCTCCCCGGTGAGCTTCGGATTGCCCTAACAATCCTCCACCCTAGGGTCAAGTATGGATTCGATGCCCACACTGATCAGACTCAGGTGTCCATCGAATCCCCCCCCCCGCCGGTAACCTGCGCCGCGGCTGCGGCTCTGGCCTTTGGCAAGCGGCACTGTTTAGTGCTACCGACCCTGTGGTCCGACTTGCGGTTAGCCGCAGCGCAGTACCAGCATTTTGGCGACGGCTCGGCACATCTCGCGGCCTTGTGGCCACCCTGACCGCAGCGATAGCACCTATCGCTGCAGTCTTCCCCCGCAGTGCACCGTCGGCCCACGTGACCCGTGAGCAAACACCGGTAACACCGCATGGGTCTCGGGTCGAGAGAATGCACCCGAGCCACCGTCCACCCTACCTTGACCCGACCCGCTTGGATCAGGGTCTTGGCCGCTACGACAGGGCATCGCACCCATACGGAGCCAACACCAGAGGGGGAGCGCCGAACTTCGCCCACCTTCACGCTCGATTCGGCGCATCCTCCTTCGCGCAGTACTGCAGCGACGACGTCCTCAGATCTTACCGAGTCGTCCAGGTCACTTATCCTGAGTTCAGCCGATTTTTCCGGCCTTGTGACCCGGACTCTTCCTGCTGGCACGATCTCTGCTAGCCTCGCGGCCAGCGAGTCTGCTTTGTCGCCGGTGTCGGCGCCTGGTACCTCCAAGATGCGACATCCTGTCACACCTAACCGAAAGCGGAGATCGGTGATTCCGAGGTCGGCTAAGGAGATTTTCTCCTTAGCCTCTCGGAGTACCGACTCATACGTCAGTCCTGTCTCCACTGCCGCCGGGTCGATCGTTATTGCGATCGCAGCCGAACTCGGCGGTTTTAGCCGCCTCCGCCTTCTGCGGCTTTCTGCCGTGGTCTTCTTATTTGCCGCATTTTGTTGGGATGCGGCTGCCGACTCAGCGGTGGTAGGCTGAGTGACTGTATTCGACTGGGCATTTGTCGCCCGGGACCTTTTACCGCGCCGAACTACTGTCGCCCACCCTTCTTTGTTAGTGTTGGACGACGGTGGCGCTCCTCCTGAGTCTTCGGTCCTGGCAACTGGAGCCGGCTGGCTTAACGAGCCCTTCTTCTTGGCACCCGCAGCAGCTACCTGGGTAGGCGGCCGTGGGGCACTCTTAGACACACCCGGTTTGGGCGGTTGTTTTCTGCCTTGGACCTGGAGCAGGCCTTCCTCCAGTTTGGCAAACCGGGGATTAAATAGCTCCCCAATTCGCCTCACTAACCGGCTTTCCGCGTCTTCTGCCGGTGCCGGCCCCGCAGATGGTGTAGGGGCCGGGATCTCCTCCGGAGTCTCCATGGGAGTAGGTGCCAGTGGCTGCTCCTTCCCAGTCGTGGCCTTTGCTGCCTCTCGCCTTAACTTTCGCAGCTCACACCCTTCTGCCATTATCTGCTGCTTCAGCCTCACATTCTCCGACACGTACTGCTGTACCTGTCGCTCGAGGTCTTCATTGGTGGTTTGAAGACGTCCCACCTGTGTGTCCGGGGAGGCGTACACTTGGCGCTGCAGAGTTATCATCTCTGCGCGCATCTTTCCGCACTCACTCCGCATCGCTTCCAAAAGTTGGCGCTGATTTGCCAGCTCTTGCGCTAAGCGCGTATTCTCCTTCCGGAGTTCCGCGCATTCAGCCGTTGCCGACCTTTCCACCAATGTCTCAGACGCCGCACAGATGCATTTAGCGGCGTCCTTGATATTCTTGATGACGACACCCTTGAGGTTCTTCGATCGCGCCACCTCATCGAGTATCGCCGCAACGCTCTCCTGTATGGTAGCCCCAAGCATGTCCGCATGTTGCATCTTCTTCTGGTGGGAATCTCCAGCAACATGCTTCGGGGGCCCTGATGTTCCAGCGACTGGTGTCGCCTTCTCCGTAGTCTTTTTCTGGGCTACAGCTGTTTTGGCCTTCGCCCCTGTCTGTCCGGTCGTACCCGTCGTGGTGGGTGCCTTCTTAACCGCAGATGTTTTTGCGGGTACATGCGCCGGGTGTTTGAAGATCAGCTCCGGCGCATCATCATCCGAGTCCAATTGGGGTCTCTCCACAATCTTTCTCTTCCTTTGAGACCTTCTTTGTGGCGCATGTGTTACGTCGCCTGTCACATCCGAGTCAAGGGAGAGACTCGACCCGGTGAAGTCCGAGTCGAGCCCCTCCATGGCTTCTCCTTCCATTTGCATCAGAAGCCTCTCTACCATCTGTCTTGTTTCTCCCTCTTCCAACTCCTCTTCTCCCTCCCACTCATGGCATAACTTGTCCCCCCCAGAATACGCGGGACAGCCCACCCCCGGCAAATCCGGTGCGGTGGGGAAGGATTCTCCAGCGCCGCTGGTACCTTCCTGGGGTAATGTGTCTTTTTTGGGTTCTGCCATAGCTCTGTTTTCCTTTTTTACCCGGGTGAGGTCCCGCTGAAGGCGAAGAATGAAAGACGAGGACTAAGTGGATAGAAAGAATATTAGGATAGGAAAGACTAACAAATAAATAAAACGACGAAGAAAAAAACAAAACCAAGATGAAACCTATTTACATATTTACAAAACTAACCTAAACTAAACCTAGTTATTTACACAATTTACACTAGTTTAGGTGAGCGCCGAATACGACACCCACCCCCTACTCTACCCTAAGCTATGAGCGAACGCCGAAAACGACGCCCGCTCCCTACCCAACAATTCATTTGACGCCGAAGCTGTACACCACCACTTTTATTGGACGGACGCCATAGGCAGCGCCCATCCCCTACTCGCCGGACTACTGGCCGACATAGTAGCCATATCCCGAAGGAACGACTACTATCCCGCCCGGGGCGTACCAGAACCAAACCATTGCTCGGCCACCGTTCCCCGCGGACGTATCCACGAGGATGGGGAAGCCTCCCAATGGCAGGAACATACTAGGAGGTTGCCCGACACACGCCCCAACCTAACCTAACCTTTTTTTTTTTTTTTTTCACGTCAGGAAAATCCATCATGGAGAACCATTCCCTTAGGGAGGAATGGATACTGCCGGACTCCTACCTGCTAAAAACCTGACGACTATTCCTCCTTGAATCATATCGCCCGGGCCATGGGAACGCAAAGCATTCGCCCAAGACCCCGGCATGGTACCCATCGAAGGGACCTCCATCTAGGCGTGCAGGGAATAGTGTCTGCACGCCACCGCCAGACCCTAAAACCTCCCCGGCGAGCTTCGGATTGCCCTAACAATCCTCCACCCTAGGGTCAATTTTGGAGTCGATGCACACCTGATTTTACTCAAGTGTCCATCGACTCCCCCCCCCCGCGTGTGGCCCGTGCCGCGGCTCGGGCCTTCGGCAGGCGACACAAGTTAGTGGCGCCCACTCTATGGTCGGATTTCCGACCCGCCGCGGCACAGTACCGACAGTTCGGTGATGGCGCGGCGCACCGTGCGGCCTTATGGCCGGGCTCGCTGCAGCGGAAACAGATTCCGCTGCAGTCTTCCCCGGCGGTGCATCGGACGCCCACATGGCCTGTAAGAAGGCACCGATAACACCGCTGAGGTCGCGGGTCCAGAGCCTGTACCCGCGCCATCACCCACCCAATCCTAAGCCGGCCGGCCTCGGCCAACTTCTTAGCGGCGGCCACTGGGCACCGCACCCACACGGAGCCCGTACCCTGGGAGTTGCGCCGGATTTCCCCGGTTTTTACCGCGGACTCCAGGCAACCCCCCTCGCGCATCACAGCGACGACAACGTCAGCCACCAGTGTCGAGTCGTCCAGGTCTCCGATCCTCAGTTCGGCCGACTTAACTGGCCTGGAGACCCGGACGACGTCCTCGGGCAGGACCTCCTCGATCCTGGCGGCTAACGCGTCTGCCGCCTCGCCTGTGTTGGCGCCGGGTATTTCTAAAATACGGGCTCCGGTTCTTCCCACGCGGAACCTCAGGTCGGTGATACCAAGCTGGGCCAAGGATATCTTGGCCTTCGCCTCGGTGAGCACCGACCCGTAGGTGACGCCCCTCTCCTCGGCTACCGGCCTCATGGTCAGGACGACTGCCGATGACCGAGGGGGGCGCGCTTTCACCTTCCGCGCGGAAGACTTCCGCTGCGGTTCCTCCCTGTGGCCGCCGCTTGGCGCCTTCGTTGGTCGCGCGCTGGTGGGACCTGCCTGGCTTGC